TATATATATATATATATATATATATATTGGGTTTTTTTAATAATGTCTAAATGGGGCTCAAACTCAGACCCCAAGATCAAGAGTCACACACTGATCTGACTCAGCCAGCCAGGTGCCCCAGATTTCTATATATTCTGATTAAAAATCATTTATGAGATATGTAACTGAAAAATTTCCCCCCAACTTGGTGCATTGACTTTTTTTTTCTTCTGGTTTTTGGAGTGGAACAGTTTTTAATTTTGGCAGAATTCCCTTTCTTAGTATGTTTTAGCGAATCATGCTTTTGATGTTGTATCTAAAAACTCTTTGTGTAACCTAAGGTCACAGACATTTTCTCCTACGTTTTCTTCTAGAACTTTTAGAGGTTTGCCTCTTAGATTTAGTTATATGACCCATTTTGAGTTGTTGTTTTGTATGCTTGTATGGTGTATGTTGTGAAGTAGGGATCTGACTTCATTTTTTTTTTTTCGTGTAGATGTCCATTTTCCCTATTTGTTGAAAAAAACTATCATTTCCCTATTGAATTGTCTTATCTTTTTAAAAACCTATTGACCATTAATGTAAGGGTTTACTTCTAGATTCTTAACTATGTTCCATTGATCTATATGTCCTTATGGCATTATTACACTATCTTATTTATTGTAGCTTTGTATTAAGTTTTGAAATAGAGAAATGTATATCCTCCAACTTTGTTCTTTTCCAAAATAGTTTTGCTTATTTTACATCCTGTGCATTTCCATGTAAGTTTTAAGATCATCTATCAATTTGTACAAAAAATTGTGGTGGGAATTTAATTGAATTTATAAATCAATTTTGGCAGAATTACCATCTTAACAAATTGAGTTTTATAACGCATGAACACAAAATGTCTCTCCATTTATATAGATCTGTTAAAAATTTCTCTTAGCAATGTTTTATAATCTTCAGTATACAAGCCTTCTACATCTTTGGGTAAAATTTATTCCTAAGCATTTTGGGTTTTTAGATGCCATAAATGGAATTTTCTTGGTTTCATTTTTGGATTGTTCATTACTAGTATATGCGAATACAAGTGTTTTTTGTACATTGATCCATTTTTCTACGTTGATGAACTCCTATATTACTTCTAGAGTTTTTTGTGGATTCCCTAGGATTTTCTACACACCTGACCACATTGACTACAAGTAAAGACAAATTTTTTAATGTTTATTTATTTAAGAGAGAGAGAGCGCACATGAGCGGAGGAGGGGCAGAGAGAGAGGGAGAGAGAGAATCCCAAGCAGGCTCTGCACTGTCAGCAC